CATCATGACGAGGCCGACAACAAGCTCGCGCGTTTCCGAGAGGTCTGCACTCTTGATATGCTTCGAATCACATGGGACAAGCTCAATAACCCCTACCTGCATCTCGTATCTCTGATTTTCCGCCCCTCTGTCCGCATACATCGACAGTTCACCATCAGGCGCCCGGACTCAAGCATGTATACCCGTCCAATTACGTGCTGGATGTTCTTCGCTGGTACCGAAGCGGAACTAGCTCAAGCAACGGAGCTTGTCCTAGACTTCCCTGGTGGCGGTTTCGTGGCCATGGGCCCGACTCACCATGAAGACAGACTACGACAATGGACGAAATCGATGAAACGTCCGATCGTTAGTGTTGATTATGGCAAGGCTCCCGAATGTAAGTGGCAATATCTGATATGCACGCATATATCCTGTGCTGACTACTTCTAAGACCCCTATCCGTACGCCATCGACGAAGGGTTTGATGTTTACAAGCAAATCGTGCAGTCTCAAGGTCGCGTTCTCGGGATGTCGTGCGAGAGAATGAAGATTATCATGACTGGAGACTCGGCGTAAGTGCTTTGCTCTTTTTGTGCACCCATCGTTGCTAAAAGAAATTTAGAGGAGGTAACATTGCAGTAAACGTCATGCTCAAAATCATCGAAGCCGCTCGTGAATCACCCCCCACATTCCTCACTAAACCGGTCGGTCTAGCTATCAGTTACGGGGCGCTTAATTTCTCTTTTTCTGCTTGGGCTTGGCCTACCGGACCTTCTCCCTATACAAATAGCTATGTCGAAGGTGCAAATCACGTCGATTCGTTCGTGGAGCCGCACATCGGGACATTGAAATCTATCAAGGACCCGAGGAAAGCGAACATCGGCGTTCCTAGAGTCTCCGTTAGCGAAATGAAGAGCACTGTTCACCAACACGCTAATATCGGCCTGTTTGCGAGACAACAACACGATAAGCGTTCCCAGATCCAGGCTAACGCAATGGGAGGGAAATGGAAGGAGGAACCTGACGCGCGAATTGAAGAAAACGACGAGTGGTCGAATATCAAAGTGAGGAGGAGATCGAACTCGTTCTCGCATGGAAACCGGCCGATCGTCGATGAGCAGACTGGTTTGATGCCAGATTCTCTCGTCATGAATTCCGGAGCCAGCTTCTCAACTGATGGGTCGCTCCTCGCACTTGATACGAAGTCGACGCGTCGGAGATCGAGATCGAACTCGTTCGGCGCGTTGCAGAGCAAATTCAACGAGGCGCAACTCAAGAGGAGTCCAATTGATGACAAGATGCAAGTCGCTCAGATGGCCGCGGAGCCCAGGTTGACGCTGGCGAGTAAAACGGGATACCTTCACGACCGCATCATTAGCCCAAGCATGGTGAGTTCGGTCTTGGACGGCGAGTCTCAGCTTGACGGAAATCTGACAATTTTTTGCGCCAACAGATGTGGACCATGTGCTTGCTATACCTTGGGTCACGATACAAGCCCGGCGTCGAAAATGATTATCACCTATCACCTATCCTCGCGCCTGCCGACCTTCTGGCAGAGTTCCCTCCGTTGTTCTTACAGTGCGGTGGTCGCGATCCACTTGTCGACGACACAGTCATGTTTGGCGGTCGTGTTCGCGAGGCGAAGCGCGATAAGAAGGAAGCTAAGAAGAAGGCAGCCGCAGCCAAGCGGGGGAGGAAGGAAAGCATCGCCAGCATGAAGAAATATAGCATGAAGTGGGGGAATGATGCAAAGGTCTGGATGAGCGGTGGCCAAACCCTCCCCGAGGTGAAGGGTTACAGCGTCAGTGGTTTAGTTGGGAAGGGGAGGAACAACTCGATGATCCCCCCTCTCACACCTGTCGACTCCGCACGTTCGACCGACTCATTCTCGCGAATGTCATTTTCGACGAATGGACGAGTGATCGAAGCAAGCAATCCGGACAGTGAGGTGGATGACGAGGTGGAAAGCGTGTCGAGCGACGACAACGTTGTTGCGAATTCCAACGAGGGAGTGACGATGCAGGTATTCCCTGGCTGGTCGCATGGGTATCTACAGATGAGCGCAATCATGCCTGAAGCACGCGCCGCCATCGACGATATTTCGGACTGGATGGTAAGCTGCTTCGACAAGCATCGCATCCGCTCCGAAGATAAGGAGAAGACGGCAGCGAGATTGAGACGCTCGAATAGTTTCTACTGTTGATCTCTGCGCGGATTTGATTCTTCGTTTTGTTTATGATCATGACCTGGCTAGACTTTCAATTTACTCAGTTTCTTAACGACAAGGATGGATATATTACGTGTAATTTTATTCCAGCGTACCATTCGCAACATCGATGCATATTTCACATGAATTATCATGGTTCGCTTCCTGCATAGTGTGAAGGCACCCAGTTTTGCACTGGTGTTTTATTCCACCAAAATCCTGGGCGGCCGAGAGTGTGGGGTGAAGATTCGATGTCTTGCGGTATATCATTCGTGAATCTCTCCCAGCGAAGTTCCAGTTCATCTCCTAGAACGCCGTGAGAGAGGGCCGTATTCCAAAACACCGAGCCTAATTGCTGCTGAGACTCGACTGAATCAAAAGATGCAACGTCGGGTTCTCTTGGTTCGAAGAAAGGCAGGTGAAGCAAAAGGAAGGGTAGTGTCGAGGAGAACGCGCGTAGGACGGCAGATTTGGTGAAAGGCGATGCGGAGACAATTAACGCGACGGTCGAGTTCCTCTTCCGCGCGATAGCTTTTGGGGAAGCTGGTACGTCTCTGTCTTGACCGGCATGACCAGTATCATCGATCATCTGGAACGGTTCTGCGGATAACCCGGGAGCGTACATGTGTCTGTGCAACACGCCCTCCATCTCGCGAACGTATCCGGGACCCATTTTCTTCTTCTCTGCCTTGCACTGTGCTATTACGCGTATTCGAGAACGAGGCCTCGTATCGAGTTCATCTGTACTCGTACTTGCAACTGAGTTATTCGTGGCAGTCACCGTCGTAGTAGGAGTAGAAGTAGAGAATTTTGCGTGGTCCAGCGACTTGAGCGGAGGAAGCCACCACCATCCACGCAGATCGACACCGCCGTCGTCCTTCCCTCCAACTCGGTGCAAGGACATGGAAAAATAGGTTTGAAGGACATGAAGTGCTTGTTTCTCGAAGAGAGTTCCTCTGTGGACCGAAGGCAATTTGGAAACGAGCATCGACGAGGAAGAAGTGAAGTACAGACCACTGTGGTTGGATTCGGGTTTAGCGAGCCGGAAATAGCCGGCCAATCGTCAAAGTTCGATCATCGTTTTGAAAAACTGCACCCAAGAGATGGTTCGCCTCATCACCCACAACCTCCTCGCCTGTCACGCGAAAAACTGCACACAAACAAAAGGCTTTCCTCTCGCGTTCAATGATGTGCGCGTCGAAACAAAAGAGGCGGAATTCAACGCAGATTTCCTGAAAAGCTTTTACGAGCGGAAGATCGATTGGGACGCCCTTGTCGGTGCTGCGAAACAGGTACGCATGCGTCGTCGATGACTCTGAAGGGTTTGAATCTCCATCAAACAAGGAAATCTTCTCAGCTTGGAGACACTTCGCTCCCACTCGAGCGACCTGAGATGGTCGATGATGATTTTTTACAACTTCTGCACCATGTGCTTCTCGAGGTTAGTGCTGATTCCTCCGCAAAAACCGAGAGTTTGAGCGACAAATTTATGGTTATTGCTCCCGCTAGATCCATGTCGAAGAGGGCGAGATGATCTGCCCGAATTGCAAACACGTATACAAGATCAGAGACGGAATCCCGAACATGGTGAGACATGAAGTTTTTCTGATTACATGGGAAGTGCGTTGTCTGATAAGATCTCTTCACCGCTCTCCTAGTTGTTAGCCGAGCACGAAATCGGTTGATACGTTTCGTATCGTTTTCGACTACCTCTTGATATTATTATTCTGAGAAAAGTGGTAAGTTACTATAATGTACCGTGTTCCTATGTTTACAGATGTCAAGTCAGGATCTATATTTTTGTTTTAGAAAAGAAGACGATTGCGTATATGAAGAACGTGGCCTATAGTACGGTGCAACCGCGCAAGCACATCCACGCTGTACTGGTATCATGAATGAAATCCCTATTACAGGGACAGGGTTCTTGCAAGAAGATTCTCCGACCAGAGTCTGTGCCGATTTACTGCCCTGGGGACACAGACGCAACGACGGAAAACCGTTCTACATTCGTGTATCAGCGGGTCAGTCTGTTCGTACCCGCCTCTGATAGTTATTTTTGGACTTCGACGACTCGGTCGGTTCGATCGTTTGTTGCTGGGTACTTTCACCTCCGCCAACGCTGTGGTCCGCACCGAGTCGCTATGCGCAGACGGGTTCTGTGGTCACAGGAGAAGGCACCCCGCCTTCGATGCTTCTTTCCGCTAAAGGCGCGCAAAGGCTGGGACAATCATAGTCCTCGACCTTCTTTTGCATTATCTGTGATGATGCAGTGGATATTTGCGGGTAATGCTCTCCCTAAATGTCAGAATCACTGGGAACAAAGTCGACAGCAAAAAATCTGCCAGAGTAACTGATTATAAACGAAGATGCGAACGGCTAGTCTTGTCTCGATGGATATTCGCATCGTTTTGTCTGATGATGCGAGATGATGGGTGTCTTGTCATAACTGAAGAAAATTTCCAGCAGAATCCTGCTGAACATGCAGGAGCCGCTGGAAAAGTTCTGCTAGTGACAAGACCTTTCCAGACCAGAGACTATCGGCGGTGTTACTTGTCGGATACTCGGTACAGACTGGGTTCGCTTCCACTCAGTTACCAATCCAACCTTCCTTTAGTCATTTCTCTTTGAAACACAATGAGAGATCACTGCTGGTGACAGGTGTGGATAATCGTAGCGTTACGGTGACGAAATATACCTACGAAGAAAAAGACGCAGCAGTCGTAAATCACACTGTGCATGCAGAGCTCTTGTACAAGGAAATAGATACGTACCGATTACATTGAAAAAGAGATTCTCTGAAACTTGAGCAAAAGAATGGACGACAGGCGGATCGAACGCCTGACCTCTCGCATATGGCTAGAAGAAAGTGCAAAGCGAGCGCTACTACCACTGAGCTAGACGCCCTCGCTTAGCTCCTACAATTTCAAAGAATATATAGTTTTGTTTCCTTACTGAAACATTTCACCTGATTTCTTTTATCCCTTTCGTCAGACTTCGCTTCCTACAACCTTCATCATCGTCTTTCACGATTACGATTTGCGTCTAGGACGAGCTTTATAGTAAGACTTCATTCGGACGTCATTATAAAGACTGAACTTGGTGATATTTGCATAGAAGCAGGCTCAGTGCTTTGCAATGCCCCCACAAACTCGAATCAGGTTCCGAGTCGAAGTGCACGTCACCAATCAAATTTCTTACCTTACCATTGCCTTTCTAAACTTGTTGCAATACTGGCAGAACTTAAAACATCTGGCGAATACACACACAGTGATGTGCTTTCCCGAAGACCCACAGAGCTTACAGAATTATCAAGAACCACTATCGCAACCATGGGACACTACGAACAACAAATCGAACAGCTGCAAGTAGATCTGCTCTCTGCCGGCCCGCACACTTTCTTGGTCGATCGGCCATCCTACTTGTACGTTTATAACTCTTGACGTCGCGACCAACTTTCTAACGGTGGAATTCATAGTCATATCGCGGCAAACATGCCAGAGACAAGTGGTATCAACTATCAAACACAGGCATCGGTCGGAGTACCTTCGACACTGACATCGAGTCTGAATACTCAAACATCACCGCCTCAATCCTCGGCATCCCCTAGACAAAGCACATGTCCTGCTGGTCTTCTTCCTGCTACCACCGCTGCTGGCCCTCGTCACGTTTGCAGCTACCCAGGCTGCCAAGGAGAATATGGTCTCAAGAGTTCTCTTTATAATCATGTAAGGAAAGAGCATCCTTCTATCAAGCCTTACTTTTGCAAATATCCCAACTGCGATCAGTTTTATTGCTCTGGAGAAGAAAGCCTTCTTTTCGAACACGTGAAGACACACATTCCCCACTGGGATCCGTTAAGAATTGTATGTCCTTGCTGCGGGGAAGTACTCATGCCGTATCGCCTCAGACATCATCTTTTGAATATTTGTAAGTTCACTCATCTCTTTTTAGCCGAGGCAAAGAGGCAAGGTAATGGCATGCCGCAGGAGCCAATGTTCAATTAGGCTCCGTGATGAAAATCATGGATTACTGATCAAGAGCCGCATCGCAAGCTATGATTCTACGATTTTCACTGTGACGTCCGTGTCAGCACGCATGTACTCGAATTCATTGGAAAGTCCAAAATATATTCCGGGAGATGCAAACCTACCCGCCACCGAGAATAGTTGTAACTATAATGAACAGTCATTTCCAGTGTCCGACCGCGCACGACAGGCAAAGCATTTGATGCGTATATAGATCGTTACGGGAGCCTACGCCGGATGAGACTTGGACAATGGGAGCAGACGGGCGGCTCCTGGTACTATCCAGTTTACGGCAAAGTTTGCTCGGAACGTTCAGTCTACGAGTTTAAATTTGAAGCGAATCCGCTCCGTAAAAATTGGTAGTCGTGACAGAAGTGCATGTATGCGCGTAATAGTAATATCATCCGTGTTCTTTGCGTTATCGATCGACCTTGTTCGTCAGAGCCTTGTCAAGTTTGTATGGAGGGGGAGGTCAGCTGCAAAGCTCATCACCACACTAATTGTTGCCTCGTTCCTGTAGTTGGATATATAGAGATCTCCCCACAGAATTTTTCAGCCAACCAGTATTTGCGCATTTGACGGGAAAGAAAGCCAAATTTTAGGGGGGAAGGACTGGAGATGGAGAGGTCGGACCCAGGATCGAGAAGCAAAGTTTCGAGCTCCGACGGATATACCCGTAACGCTGTCTGCGACTCGAACTCGAAGTCAACGGGTCGACCTCCTTCCATCCCCTTCGCTTCCTTGCCGCCATTCTTATTAATATTACAGTACCATTCGATAGATAATCTCATCCGAGAAGGGGTTGATTTCCCTGGTGACGTCGAGGAATCATCTAGTACCTAAATTTGACGAGTTTTGCTTACAACTTTGCAGGCCTTGCTGGTGATCAATCGAGTTCCGTTTATTACTCTGGAGCTCCGGATTACACCTCGAAGATCAAGAGCGGTGATTTTTGGGGCATTGGTGAGTAAAATTCTCTTGACCATTACTGTGCTGAATTTGCTGCGATAATGGCGGAGTATTAAAAGGTCAGTTTGATGCTCGAGAACCAGCATTACTAAATTCCTGTGAACAGTCACGTCCCAGGATGAGCTATCTCAACGACCCACAGAGCTCGTGGGCTTCCCAAGGGACGTCGACCTCAAAAACCCGAGTCAGCTATGAAGAACAGATTGAACAGCTGCAGCTAGATCTGTTCTCTAGCTCAGGCGAGCCGTACACATTTTTACCGGACTCGTACGTAAAGATTAATAATAACCAACGCTTTGTCAAATTTCTAACGATGACAGTTACACTAAAACTGCGGGAAACATGCCAGTGACGAGTAGTATTGGTTTTGAAACACAGAATTTGGTCGGAATACCGTCGACACTGTCATCAACATCAGCAAACCACAGAACCCCTTATTCGGCTTATTTAAGGTCAGCAAGCGTAAGCCAAGCCGGCTTGGATAAGAAGGTCTGTTTATTATCAAAGCCATAAAAGTGTATTTATAAGGTTAGAAAGTCAAAATTAAGCGTGCAATTAAGCTATATCAAGGATTTTCGGGTCAGCGTTTGTCCAGTCGGTACAAGTTGCCTACAAGCGACGAAAGCGCCGAAGTGTTCAAGTTGCGTACAAGCCATAAGTTGGTTAAGTTGGCAAGCTCGCGAAGCACTCAAGTGTTGTAAGTCTAATGAAAGCGAGTTTATTCAAATCCACATATACATATATCCAAAACATAAGCACATTCAAACTAATCAAGCGCAAACTAAGACAGTTCGCCTTCGTCTGGATCCTCGCGCACGGTTGCTCGAATCGTTTCAGTGAGTTTCGGCGGTACATGTCGAGTCGTGGAACGACGAGCTCCTGCCGGAACGTGTTTCCTCGCTTCTTCGATCACCTTTTCCCAAACCTCGCTATCCAAATTAATGAACTCCGCGAACTGATCCCGCTTCTCTGCGATAGTATCCCCACTGAAGTCGCTGATGGACTTTGGCGGCGAGCCCGTTCGGTACAGCTGCAGTGCGCGATGCATCTGTAACAGGAAGAGTTGATTAGTGTCAGCGAAAGAAAGTCGGCCATGAAACATACCGCTACACAGCAAACAATGAGAGCGCCCACGGGACGACAGTCTTCTTCTGTGCCGAAGCTGTCCATGCCGACGGAACCGTTGATAGATTGGAGGTGTAGACCCAATAGCTTCGAAATGAAAGGATGACGAAAAGAAAAAAACTAAAGAACTGTTTGTCAGCAAGAGAAGAGCGGCAACGTTAATAAAGAACTTACCTGTCCTTTAGTATCACGGTAGATGAAGCGGTATCCATACTGTGTCCACTCAATCATGTGCTCGACGTAGCCTGCGATTGCCTCTGTGTCCGACTGTCCGTTATCAAGTTTGAATTCATCGGTTTCGAAATGTGCTTTCACGAGCGACAGAGCCTCGCGAGCTATCTTCCCTCGCCACTCACAGACTCGCTGAGATACCTGACAGATTGTTGATATTTTATCTAAAGAAAGCTAGGTGAATACTCACGATGGAGAAGACGGCCCCGGTACCCTGCACGTTGTATGGGAAGTCAGAGAAGACGAGATCCCAGACTTGCTGAATGTATTCGAGTAGGATGGTCCAGGGGTCTGCAACGGTACCCATGAATTGAAAAAAAGTCGTACAAAAAGTGTTTCGCCATCGCGATTTTCTTGTCGTCCCCAGCTCGAATGGTAAATCGGCGTTCGTGTATTTGGAGCCCCCACTAGATTTAGCCGAGGACTGGCTTCCCGAGCGCGATCGCGATCGCAATTTCCCGTCTTCGCTGTCAGCCACTTGCAGTGAATCGGCTGCACTTCGTAAGCGGATGCTGACTCCAGACTGTAGATGAATGAGAACAACATAACATAAACAAGTATACCACATTACCTCGCTAGTTGTTTTTTGATTGCTAACTCGAGATTTTTGAGGAGTTGGAGGAACAACGAGCATCGCAGGCGGGGCCGAAGAGGCCGTGGAAGGTAAGCTGGATTTATGCGACTGGCTTGATCTGTTCACAACGGAGGAGATTACGGACGACCCAGGCGACGACGTCTGAGACACTGAATCCGTCGGACGCACAGGGCCGACGCGAACCTTTGCGACGGCCTCTGACACATCTGCAACATGTTGCCCGCCCGGTTTGACCTTCATCCGCCATGTCGAGATATCTGTAGTGGCGGCTGGTGCACTGTAGAAGTTCGCGTTTTGTGAACGAAACCGAACAAGCGAGCAAATGTACTTACTTTGAGTTGTTGGACATCGCCGTGATGCGACCAGCCGCGGACGACATGTCTGACGCCGTCGACGCGGGGGGTTGTTCGGCAAAGGCATCATGCGCATTTGCTGCCGCTTCCACTGCGGCATTGTATCAGTGGAATTTAGAACGAAAAGAACTCACGAAAAGAACTCAAATATACTTACTTTCTGCAGCAAGATGTTCTCGGGCAACTGCAACGGAGTTACGAAGAACAATCTGGACTTTCTTGCTTTTGCCTTTGCCTGCTTTCGCATTCGAGGGTCTTTCGTTTTCGACCGCTGCTGGTATTCAGTAAAAGGGAAATGGGAGGAAGCGGAAACGGACTTACGTGGCTCCGGCTCTTCACCATGACCGTCATCGTCGTTAGTCGCGCCCGCGCCATTTTCGACGTCCATTTCGTCGTCGTCGTTACCGGTTTCTAACTGTTCATCATTGTCTGGCTCCTCGCGCGGACTTTCAGGTTCCTCCGTCAGAGCCCGCTGATAATTTCCGTCCGACTCTTCGACATCTTGTTCGCCTGAATCTTGTTCGCCTGAAAGTCCGTTTTCCATATTCACATCTAAGGAGTTTTTCGACGGGGTAGGTTGAAGAGAAGTGGTAGGGCTGGGATTGT